TGCAGGTGGTGAGGGCCATCAATTCAGAGCTGCTCAACAGGCTCGTCTGTCTACCAGATCTGGACAGCGTCATGGCCGGCTTTGCTGCCCTTGGCTTCCCGAATTGTGGAGGAGCGCTCGATGGGACACACATTCCAATCCGTGCACCGCCCCATCGAGCAGCCCAATTCATTAACAGAAAGGGCTACTTTTCTATGGTCCTCCAAGCCCTGGTCGACCATCGTGGCCAGTTTTCTGACATTTGTGTTGGGTGGTCAGGGCGGGCACATGATGCCCGCATCTTCAGGAACACGTACCTCTACCGGAGGCTTCAGGCAGGAACATTTTTCCCGCATCACAACTTTGCGTTTGGGGATGTGCACATGCCGGTGTGCATAGTGGCTGATGCGGCCTACCCCCTGATGCCGTGGCTGATGAAGCCCTACACCGGCCACCTGGATGAGAGCAAGGAGCAGTTTAATGCTCACCTTAACCGGGCTCGCAACCAGGTGGAATGTGCGTTCGGACGTTTAAAAGGCAGATTCCGGTGCTTGGTCACACGCCTAGACATGGGAGAGAGCTACATCCCTGAGGTGGTGGCCGCGTGTTGCGTTCTCCATAACCTGGTGGAGAGGAAAGGGGAGGCCTTCCTACCAGGGTGGGGTACAGGTGCTGATGGTCAGGAGAGGCACTTTGCCCAGCCCCGGACAGCTGCCATCTACCAGGCTCACCGGTCTGCTGTTTGCATACGGGAGGCCCTACGGGAGCAATTCTCAAGTGGAGGCCACTGACTCTACTGAGGGGCTTCTGCCTGTAGTTTCTCTCCCTCTCATCTGCTGACAGATAGCCACAGAGGCTCACAATAGAATAGCTAAAATATTACCTGGCAACAGGGGATAGGGATGTCACTGTGTAAACGAGTACATGAATACACATCCCGGTTACATGCAAACACATCCTCTCCCCCCGTTTCTGCCTCTATCAAAGGCAGCAGCGAGGAGGTGGGCAAGCAGGAGCTGGTGCTTACGGGATCCAGTTTTTAAGCTAGCTCACCAGGCGCACTGGTTCCCATGAAGCCACCTTCCCCACCCGCATGTAAACATATATCCACTGAAAATTTCAGCAAGTACATGTTTGCCAAAAGAAACAAATTTTAATATCCCTAGTTATGAGATTAATGCATGAATTAAGACAAGCATTCGATACAGTCTAAATACTAAACACATTCATATGCTAATTCTAACACTTTTAAAAAGAATACTATCCAGGTGATTCTAGATACGTATTTGTCATTGTTCAGGTAAGACAAGAGAATGTTGGCATAAGATGACACCTGGTCAGCCAGTGTCACAACCACTATATTTTCCACTTTACCAAGTCACAATTAAAAACACAATCTTTACCAATACTCACCAGTGAGTAGTGTCCAAACACAAATTGTATTTCCCAGATTTACAGTGGTATAAATTAGAGCACAGTCATGCCTGCCTCCACAGGAGAGCGGGGGTGGAGACAGGCTCTCTTTGTAGACACTCTTTACAATCATTAATGTGTAAAAATGTTATGATGTGGCAGTAAGCCCACTTTAAAAAAAAAATCTGTTTGCTGACAGCTAACTGCTACCCATGGGAGAGAGAGGAAGAAGTGATTTTGGTAGGGCAGCTACAAAACAATTGGTGAAATATTTACAATGATATTCTAGGACACTAATTGTCTTGCAATTGTTTCATCTCTATTAAGCCTGTTTTGGAAAGAATAGTGTGACAAGACTGAGACCTTCAGTGTATTTGCTTGTGGAATGGACTAATTTGGTATGCATGACAAATGCTATGTTAATGACTTTTTAATTATGTTGATTTTAAAAGATATGGGATTAAATCAAAACATTAAACTCCCAGTCACTCACAAATGTTCAGGTCCACAGAGTAGCTATTTTAACCTTGATGGTAGGAGAACCATGCCAACAATCCAAATAAAATAATCATGAGGAAAAATAAGGCACAAAGTCAAACAATTATTTTTTTAAGGTCGCAGCCACCTACAATTGGACCTGCTGCTATTTGACACCATCACAGTGTGCCCACTTTTTAACCTTTGAAGCTTATCATAAGTTACTTCTGGAGGTAGAAAGTTAGTCATACTTCTCAGTGGATTTACTATTTGATTCCATTGGGTGACAAAGTTGTTCCTTCTAATGGTTCTGAAAAAGAAATCAAGTAATGCTTTAGTATCAATCAGCAAAATTCTAAATTTGCTCTTCACAATACTTACTGTTAATGTAAAGCCCATTGGATGAAATACGAACTTGTTTTTGCATGTGTCATTGTTCTTGGGCAGTATTTTAATTGTATTATTTTTGGCTTACTGTAAAGTGCCAAAAAAGCTTTATAGATCACCTGTGCTCTGAATTAATCTGCTTGAGGGCAGGTGGACCTGGTGCCTGAAGAGGAAAAAAAGGATAGAACTATCTGCATAGAAGGGCATAATATAGATGCTATATATAAATGCTCTCTACAGTGTTATATAATGCAAGGTAAACTCATGGAAGTGACCCCAGTGCAGTAAACATTCTGTCTTCTGATCGTCTTTCAGGAGAAAAAGCTCAGTACACCTCTGGATTTGCCACGGGAACTTCCTGGTGCAATGATCTCTTGAAAAATCAGAAAAATAGTCTCATTGTAGTGTGAGGGGAAACAAAGGCATGGAGAAGGTACATGGCTTGCACAAACTCATGCAGAAAGTCCTCAACAGAACCCCAGATTGAAACCAAAACTCCTGAGCTGCAGGCCTGTATTTTAAACCACTCCACCACATGTTGAAGACAACGATGATAAAGCTGATCCTTATCACGTTTTGACTCTCCAAATGTGATCATTACAAGATAATAATATTGGCTTTCCATAAAACAGACATCAAAGTCCAAATATAAACTATATAGATTTGTATACTGGAAAATATTCTGCATCCACGCAGCACTTCCCATAATCTGGCCTAAAGTACTTTAAAAAAAAAAACTGTATCCAGGTTTAAGCTTGGATCTATCTCTACACAAAAGAGCTCAGATAAAAGATCAAAAAATTATATTCAGAATGCATGCCCATGTTGAGTATTTATAGCTGGATGACTAACATCCGCCAAACAGCTCCAAATCAAGACTACATGCAACAAGTCCTATGATATTCTGGAAAACTACTCCACAAAACAGATATTAGACAGGATCACGAAGAAAAAACAGTTTCTTGCCATTTCAACCAGAAAGGACATTGTCTCAACGACTTAATTACCTGCATCCTGCTTCAAAAGCCTTTTAAAACTGCATTTGAAAGGGAATCCTCTGAACTGTTATTCATGCTAAAATTCGACACTTTATGCGGGGGTCTTAAAGACTCTAGTTATCTTACCCATTACAAAGATAGTTTCCCCAATTATCACCTCTAATATCATTAGCTCACAGACATTTACCTTCCCCCTCTTGCCCCGAATTCCCCTTCTGTCCTTTTCATGTGTGTTCTTTTTTTTAATTGTATCCTTTGGTATATATGGTTGTGACTATTTTCTTCCACTATTTGATCTGAGGAAGTGGGTCTGGCCCACGAAAGCTCATCCTCTAATAAACCATCTTGTTAGTCTTTAAAGTGCTACATAGTCCTGTATTTTGCTTCAGCTACACCAGACTAACATGGCTACATTTCTATCACTATTCTGGAAAAGTTTGGTACCACTAAGCTGTTGCAGTTTGCCTGCATGCCATGCAGCCTGTAGCCAAGTTTATGGTCCATATTTCTGAATCAAATGGAAATGCTAATTGGAAGTAAGATATCCAGGAAGCATGTGGAAGTACAGGAGCATGAGCTCAGAATAGGACTAGAGGGGAGCAGTCCTACCATTGAACAAAGCTGGACAGGAAGTCCAGACAAAAAACAGAGCAGGAAGGGGAGAGGAAAAACAGTGCCAGGGCCGGACGTGAAGTTTCAAAGAAGCTACTGTAACCTTTGGATGTGTATCTGAAACTGAAGTACCACTGGGTTTCCAAAGCTGATGCTGGGTTATGCATGCTAATTCCTGTCCTGCTCCCAAGAGTAATGGGTAAATAAAATCTAAGTGAGGCTTATTTGAGGTAGAAATTTTATGATTTTACATGTTCCATGTGCCTCTAGGCCTTAAATCTCCCATTCTATCCCTAATCTGAAGCAGATACCTACATTCTCCTCTACAGATAGGAAGGACAGATCCTTTAGTGAACACCTCTTTAAGGAGTTTAGTACACACCAAGCTGCACTCCAGGATTTCCACTGCTCTACAGCTGTGTTCCCATGGGTGACAAGCTGGTACACTGTCGAATCACACTGTGGTTTGCTGCACCGTCGGCATATAGACAATCTCTCAGATGCAACATGCCTGCAGCTAGCAACTCAGTATATCTTAATGCTAGCAGATTAGTCAATGAACTATCTAAGAATAAATATTAAGGATGTATCTGAAATCCCAGCTATAACTCTTGACATTTGTAGGGGAGCCTGGGCAGCCCTGCCTTGACAATAAATGGTGATGTCTGTCTTGATCACAGTGCAGATCTCTAACAAGCAAAACCCAGGCCTGTCTCAAGCCTGGTGCACATAAGCACGCAGGCAAGGCTGAGGAAGAAGCTTTGAGAGGCAGGAATGTTTTGCATAATGCAGATTAAGCAGCACAGCAAGACCACATCAAGAACACACGATGAGCAACCTTGTACTGGTACTTCTATTTCTGATAAACAAAAATGACAGATGCAGCCATAAAACTGTCAACTGCACATGCAGTTTTTGCAACACCCTGAGTAGCAGGATGTACCCCAAAAACAGTATTGGGCATTTTAGGTATCTTATGCAATATGTAACCAATTGGTAAATATTATTAGAATGACCAAGTCTAGCTTTACAATAAAATGGGCTTAGTAAGAAGAATCGATGGGAGGGAGTGAGCAGGATTGACCCACGGGTCCTTGCTCATTGTAACTAGAAGTAAATAGACCTTTCCCACCGGCTACATCAGTGCATGGCATCCCAATGGGTGGAAATCAAAGGGACCGTGATCTCCTGCCTGATACTGTAGGTAGCATACGAGTGAAGGGTAAGCGAACTAGGCTTTATTATTGTATTATAGTAGATCTTCTATGAATTGCATTTGCATTGCTTTGTGCTATATTAATTGCTTTAGAATTTATAGTATTTAAGGTTTAAATTGCATAGTAATTGTTTTTAAGGCTTGTAAAATTTAAACAACTAGATTAACTGCTCAAAACTTATAATAACTAAGAAAGTGGTTAAGTCTCCCAAGAGTGTACTGGTTTCCCTTGGATCTAAAATAAATTGAACCACATGACATTTACCTAGCTACATGCCCTTAATATGTTTCACGTAAGTAATATATTAGCATCAGTAGCAACAATCTTACTTTCTTTGTGCGGTAATCACTGCCGCTACTTGCGGACGATAATGGCAACACTGTAAGAGGAAAAAATAGTTGTATCTAATGATTGGCAACATTGCACACTTTTGCTCCTCAACTGTAAATCTGCATGGTTAAGACTCATTCCATTTAATCTGGACTTTCAGAGAATGTGCAAGACCCACCTTTACGAGATCTCTATACATAAAAACACTCATTTGCTTATGGGCACCGGCCATTAGCACAAATGCAAAATTTAAGACTACTTCATCCTCAAACCTCTGGGCAAAGCGGTAAATCTTACAACTTGTTTGGAAGGGCAACAAACCCAAAATTGGATAAGCAAGTGAGAGAGGAATGGGAAGAGGTCTTAAAGTTAAGGGACCCCCATGGAGGACAGTCTGCTACCACTTCATTCTTTTCCACACTGAAGAGCTCTATTATAAGTCACTGTGCAGGTCATCTCCCCATGCCAATGGTGAGGAGCTCCCAACCCATTAAGGACATTACAGATTCAACTCAAGGGTGTCAGAAACCACTGCTCATTACGGAGCACTAGAGCTGAGTACTCGCTGGGAGAGGGAAACCATATACAATGGATGAGGGGAAAACATTCACAAACGTCCTTTTTTTGCATAAGTACCCAGAACAGAAGATGAGCACTCATGAGAGTATGAAACAGAAAAGAAGCAAGCACTCCCTTTCTGCCGCAGGTTCCATTTTTGCTGGGTCTGCAGATGCAGCCCTACATAGAGCACATTTCAGCATCTTAAAGAGACAAAGGCACGGAAAAATTGTAGCAGGGTCCCCAACCTCAACGAAAGCTCACAACATTCTTCCTGGGGAGAGATAGATAGCAGCACTTTGCCAGTACCTCTGCATCCATGAACATCTCAGGATCTCCTTTTATACCTAAATTATAAACACATGTTGCTAACAGCTGATACACTCTCTCAGGGCAAAGACAGGCAGACAAAAATCTCGGCCAGCTCTTCCTTAACCTTTTGGAAAACCAGCATGATTGTACTCTGGCACAAACTGAGCCTCAAGCAGTCAGTTTTCAGTAAAACCCTCAATCTCACAAACACTGCTTAATCCAGACTCGGACATTGTCTCTATTCAATTAACACCTTTGCTGGACAGTAGAGTACATCAGATACATTATGCCACACATGGACACACCCTTCTTACCTTTTAATTTACTTCTGACCCTTGGTCTTCTTCGGGTATAATCTTGGGTTTTCGGCAATGATTTTTTCTGAGAATCAAGGATCCAGCTTTTTTCACTCAGACTATTGCTTGGAGTGTCAAGATTACTTTCAGAGAAAAGGTGTTTCCTATAATCAGACTAAATACACTAACCGGTCAGTTTTAACTCCCAAGACCAAATGACAGTGCAAATCTTTTTACCAGATTATTAAAAGATGCCACCAAATCACCCTGAGCAGTGTGTTTGTGGGGGAGCTGAGTCCCACAGCCCTGGCTCCAACCCAAAGCCAAGCAGTCTACATTGCAACGGAACAGCCCCACAGCCTGAGCTCTGCTGGCACAGGCTAGCAGTGGGTATCTAGTAGCTGTGTAGACACACCCTAAGTGGCTAAAACTGTTGGTCCAACACCTCTTATCGGTATTAAAATGGCCTGCATATTTGAAGTGCAGGGACAGCCATTGCTAAATCTTAACTTCAGGCCACAGCAATGAAGTCACCAGCAGAAGCAGGCTGTCCTTCACTATATAGACAGACTCTTAACAGCTCTCAATCCCAACACAGTAGCAGCACACTCAGTCCATCACATTAGGACTATGCAAACCATTAGCCATGACAAACTGGGGTGTAAATCTAACCTATGCTAGCTGCCATATGACTAAATCATCTGTTCCACACCCCCCCATATGGGGCAGAAATATTTATTCAACGCTTCTGCCTTTTCTGTATAATTATTATTATTAATAATAATAATTCTACCAATACCATTGTTAGAATTTTTTGTTCTTAATAGATTTTTAAAAAAATACTTCTGTCTTTAGCTCTGCTGGGCATAGGTTTCCCGTTGTGTCCGTTTACTTCTCAAATTTCTAGCTTCTGATTTAGACTCATTGCTATAAACTTTCCCTCTCAACCCCCTCCCCATAGCTGCCTTCTCTTCCTCTTAAAACCAGATCAGTATTTAAACTTTTATGTGCCTCTTTCTTGATTTTACTAGATGCCAAAAAACACAATGTTCTTAAACAATTCCTAATCATTCACATTTTTCAGATTACATTCTTTCTCCTAGTTGTTTTCAGCCTTGTGAAACTGGTCTTTTCAAAGCACTGAGTATATACATATTATTGGACTAAACAGGAGTTTGTTCTGCTTGCACATTACAAATGTGTGTTAATGTCACTTGTACCCTAAGCTGTTTTTTTAGTTCTGTCATCTCCGTATCTGTTAAGACTAGGTCCAATATTCCAAAAACTTTGTAGTATTAGGAAATTGTCAGCTGTAATGTTTAGAAACTTCAAGATGTTTTAGTCCTGAAAGTAGGAGACCTCCAGTATGTTGTAACTCAAACTGCAGTCCCCACAAATCACGTAGCATATAGGAGCATAAGGAGCCAATAATTGTGTTCCCTTGTGTATTTGGATAGTCTATAGCAGACTTCAATAGCCCATCTTGTGCTTCATCTGTTAGCAATTTGATCCAAAAGCATTCAAGATTATTTTCTCTCAAGTTATCAATGACTCAAACACATAATGCCATTTTTGATGGGGAAGGGCATCTCTCTCCCTTTTTGCCCACTTGATACCTCCTAAATGGGATATAGCCATTGATTTTAACATGCCAATCATAAGAGCCATCCCACTAAGTTTGAGTAATACCAAATTAGTTCAAACATATTCTCATCAACAAGTAATTTATGTTCCTCTTATTACCTAGGCTCCTGAAAAATTTCATCTATCTTGTTTGGTTCCTTGATTAATTTTCTTAATATTTTGATTTTTTTTCTGAGCACTTCCTTCTTTTTATACTTCCATTTAATTATTGTTTAGCCCCTTCCTGACTACTCAAGCCAGGCTCCAGGGGCAACAGGTATCCGATTCCAAATCTGGAGTACTGAATACAAGAGAGCGCATGAAAATTTTCTGTTCAGTTGCAGTCAGAGCCCCAGAGTGATCCAGGGGTTCTAGCCCCCAGAATAGGTTCTTCAAAAGGTATGGACATTTGTTTAGCCAGCAGAAAGTAACTGTGCATCTGAATAAATACGGAATAAATTTGTAGGTTCATCATCAGCAATTTTAACCTGTTTCCCCAAGGGAATTTAAATATCTCATACTGTCATTTGATTTACATGAAGAAACAGGCCACATTAACATTTACACAATATTCTACATATTCAACCATAAGAAAATAAGTATTACCTACCTGCCGCCTCTCTTGTTTGCTTGATTCCCGTTTCATGTTTCCGTTTTCATTACTTCTGTTGAATAATCCACAGTGATGCATGTTAGAACTAGTCAATGAAGTTCACGACAACAACAGATCATGATGGGAAAGACAAGACAACTCTGCAGCTCTGCCAACTTCATGCCTCCAAAAATCATGAGAAACAGAAATCACAGTACAAGATTTTTCTATACTTCATTATGGAGTTTATTTACTTTGTTTTCTGAGTGTTTAGGGTGCATTGGTTTCACATGCAAGTTTTTCCCTGCAATGCTCAGGACCAGAAGGTTGGTTTTCTTAAAAAATATTTTTTTTAAATATAAGCCAAGATTCTCAGGCTTATTTCTTGAATCTAGGAGCTCTTGTTCTGAGAAAGATACTGCCTCCTGTGAGTCTCATAATAAAGGTGAGAGATTGGCAACACTATCAGAATAGCTTGCATGAGCAGAGGGTCTGAAGGGCAAAGAGTTAAAGGTATGTTTGAGTTTAGAAAAGGGTGACTACGGAAAATCTTTTCAAAAACTCTGTTGGCTGATCTTTTTGTAGGCACCAAACTTCGAAGCGTCCTGTCTCTTTGCCATCAGAAGACAGGTGTTTGGTTAGTGACAAGAAAAGGAGGAGTTGAGTAGCAGAGAATCCAAAACACCCCTCCAAAAAAGATAGTCAAAACCACAGCCACCATTTAGAGGCAGAAATTAAGGCCAGATCCTGTTTTCCATATTCACACAGGTAGTCATTGGTCACGATTTAAAAAGGCATGTAAAGCTAGTCAGAGCAGTGCAAGCATGGAGGTATCATACAGTACACTTCATAGAGGTGACTGGGGAGGTGGAACCCAGAGGCCCACTAGCCACATGACCCTCCCCTAGCTAAGGAAAGATCCAGAACAACCCTCCTCTGCCTCAGGCCCTGCCTCTCCCCACCCCTGTTCCCCCTCACCTCTTCCTCACCCCTGCTCCATCTCGTCCCCAAACCAAAGCAGTTGGGGGCTGGCAGCCGCAGCAGGGGCCCCAGCCTCTGTTCTCCCCACCTTCACAATAACTGGCAGAGGAAGCAGAGCAAGGCAGCTCCAGCTCACTCTGCTCTCCTGGCCACATTGCTCCACTTCCCACCAGGGAGTGTGGAGTGGTCCTGCACCTCCCTCTGGAGATCAAAGCAGCTGGGGCTGCCTTGTTCTGCTTCCTCCCCCTTCCCCCCACCCTGCCAATGAGCGGGAGGGGAGGCAGGGAGACAGACTCTTGCTGCTAGTTGGACCCTCCTGCCCATTGCATTAGAGGCACATGACTCCTCGTGCCGCCTGCATCGCCTGATACCACGTTTTACCAGATAGATATTTATAGCCTGTACAGCATACCAGAAAGACACAGGAGGAGCTGAACGTGGGGCTTCCAGGTAGCCCCACACCAGCAGTTCCTTTGGTGCAGGTGTACTGCCCCAGCCCTTTCACACAGATGCCTCTTTCTGGGCTCTGTATAGCAGCCTCACTGAAAGACAGGGCTGGGAGGGCATTTAGTTGAGCACCTAACATAAGTGCCCAAGATTTTCCAACTTAATACATTAGGCTCTTTTGTGAGAAAAATGAGCAAAATTCAGATGGTTTCTCTCTTCTCCCTGAGTCTTTCTGTATCAGATACAAATATCAACAGCTAAGGTATTTTCCATGTGCCCACCACTGCTACACATACACCTCCAAAATATACTGGCATCTTCCTTTTTCTCCTAACTTATTAATAGCAGCATTTTCTTTAAAAAGGCACTATGTTCTTTACCAATGCAAGCTGTTAATATGAAAGAGAGCTATGATGCTGTACCTCTGGTTTTGTAAAGAAACTTTCAGGCCAAGAATTTTTTGTTTCGCATCAGTGACCTAAAATAGAAGCCACACATGTTAAGTTTCAATATCTCAATGAATAATCTATTAAATGAATACATGTCAGATCTTGGAAGGCATACTGTGAGAATGGACTAAAAGTATTCCAAGGCAAAGGTGATTTTTAAATAGAAGGAATTAACAACATGAAACAATATGTAGTAAGAGATGCTTCAAAACACCTTTTTCCTCACTTTTTCCTTGCTTACTAAAAAAAGTCTGAATCACAATCTAGTACTGAAATGGCATTCAAATTATAACCCCATTAATTGCTAAAGTGCTCTGGATTAATATAAAATGCTAGACCAAGATATTTAGACCAAAATAAATGATAAGTAGTAACATATTGTAGCATGTGTCAGAACAGTGCTGACACCCAGTGGTAGTACTGAAAGATGCAAGATACAAAATACTTGACTGAGTTTCAGATTTTTTTTTCTTTTCATTTAGAACTTGAGAGGCACTAAACCATGAAGACGTAATAACTAGGGCTGTCAAGCAATTAAACATTTTAATCACAATTAATCACGTGATTAAACATTTTAATCATGTGATTAATCGTGTATGCCTCCCCTTTGAAGTACCGCGGTGGAGTTTCAAGGGGGCAGTGCTGCATGGAGCCCGGGGTCAGCTGAAGTCCCCAGCTGACCCTGGGCTCCATGAAGAGCTGGCCTTTGAAGCACTGTGGCAGAGTTTCCAAGTGGCAGCACATTAGGAACCTGGGATCAGCTGGGGACTCCATCTGATCCCCAGTTCAGCTTGTGCTGCTCCGTTGAAATGCTGGAGCAGCACTTCAAAGGGGCAGTGCAGCATCAATGCCTGTGATTGCATTAAAAAATTAACACATTAATCCTGTCCTGCGTTAATTGCAGGTGTTAACACAGGTCAACTGACAGCCCTAGTAATAACAGAGCTGAGTGCAAGGGAAGGAGCAGTAGATGGAATATGGCTGAGAGCAGTTAAACAACTATTGGTTACAATAACCTAATTTCTTGACTCTATCTGTTTCAGTAAGTGCTGACCAGCACAGGAGTTCAGTGAATTCTAAAAAGAATGGTTGAGTTTTGACACCATGCTGTGCATTTAACTTTATATCAAACACACTGAAGGTGTATCTATCTTAGCAAATGTCTTAACTGTTTTTCCAGTATTGCAACTGGACCAATTCTACTATCAGCAACAGAAGCTTTAAGGACAACAGTACTTGCTACAAAAACAAGCAAGGTTTCTAGTCCCAGATCCGAAACCTTCTTTTGTAACATGAAATTGTTATATGAAAGATGGTAAGAACCACTGACTTTAGTTCAACAATTCTGTTCAGTCTATGGTACAAGATGTCTATTTAACCATATAAAGATAGTCTCAATCTAACTTGAATCAAGTTAGCATACACTGGGAAGGAAAAAAACCCTTTATGTTCTGGATTTAAATGGCTGCACCATATTACATGCACTACACTCTGCAACAAATTATAGTTGCTTCTTCAAAGAGAAATATCAGCTTCTGAGTCCAATCCCATAAAATTAGACAAGAATTTCAAATATCCAGTTTTCAACCATGTCTTTATCATCATTGCTTGTTTCTAGCTTATAGGATCAATTTAAACCTTCTCAGAAAAGCTTTTTGCATCATCTGCAGTTAATAGATGCAGCCTATTGAAACTTATTACATTCAAACAATTGTGATTTGGTATTGGTTTGATGCCAATATTTTCCCAAACTTTACCTTTGCATAATTCAGAGAGTCAGATGAATTTTCAAAGTCAAATGAATCCTTCCTGCAAAGCAAAATGTACTTGAAATGTGAAATATTTATGAAACACTCAACTTGCATAACTTCACTAGAAGTTAAGTATTGAAAAAACTGCAGCCATTCACAATTTTTATCATTATTATACAGAGTTAATGCATCTAAAACTTACAAAGGTGCATCAAAAGTCGAAGCAAGCACTTTTTCCTGTGTAAAGTTTTGGTTTCTTACCCACCTATATTTTCCTGGTATTTGGTTCTCATGAAAATTGCACACCTTATTTCAAAATAGCTTATTTCGAAATTTGGGGCTGTCTACATAGCACTTATGTCAAAATAAATCACTATTCCACTGACTTCCTTAATCCTCGTACAACAAGGTTTACAGGAAGTCAGAGTAAGAAGCCCATTATTTTGGAATCTTCTTGTAACATAACGTTATGTGCTGTAACATTATTTCAGAATAATGGACGTTATTCCAAAATAACTTTGCTGTGTAGATGTACCCCAAGACAATTGGCTATCTTTTGTAAGTTCTTTAAGAAACTTAGCACGTTACATTACGACAACTAAAATATCTCTTTGCTCCCACAAAGCGAACAATCATAGGGGAGAAAAGTAAGGAAAAAAATTATTAGTGTATGCTGATGGGATTTTGAAGAGAATGCAAGAGGCTTTCAAATTGACTTTTCCCCTAAACCACTTCTGAAATCATTATCTATTACGGCTTGCTTCCTAATCACATTTCTGTATTGTATTTGGAAATAGGGCATCATATTGATCATTATTATTAGAAGTGTGTAAAATTATTAGTGATACTTAATATCATTGTAAAATTTAGCTGTCAATGTAGCTGTGTATTCTACTCTTCTGTTTAACAAGGTAAGACTGGTACAAAGAACTAAGTCCTTCCTCCCATGCTGGGGGTAAACCCCTTTGTTTTTAGAGTTACATTGGGCAGAACACAGTCCTGCCATGGCAGACTGATGGAGGAATAGACAGCCTAGTATTTCATCTTCTCCATTACTCATGTCTGTGAAAATCCCTTCCTCAGCAGAAGAAACTGGTTGTGACAACTTCAAATAATTGCTAAGATTTGTGTGTTTGAAACTAAAGATCATCAAAGATTCTATAGTTTTCATCCACAACCAATATAAAAATTCAACTAAATGTTGTTGGGCTATGTAAAAATTAATAAGGGTCTGGGGTAGTGGTAAGGTGTTCAGCCACAGTAGGCATTACCCTTGAATATGCTCTTGCCTTTCTTTTTTGCAGCCTAAAAAATAGATAAGCATTAAGCTGCTCTGCTTTGTTAACATTACTAAAGTTTTTAGGAAAAGTAGTGATAAACGTGTGAACTAACATACTAAGGGTGCCAATTTGTTGCTCTTCTGTTGAATGTCCGAGGTAAACGTACGTGGGCAATAAAGGAGTTCCGTTTACCCCATCCACTCCTGGGTCACCTCTTTCTTCTCTAACAAATGTAAACGTTCATTTTTGTTTGACATCTGATTTTGAACACTTGGTAATTGAAACTGTCAACATTTTTAGCTAACTGCAAAGTATACCTCAATATCATCCCAATCTTCAGGACAAAAACAATGTTATCAGAATAAACAAAAAGCTGACCGTTAGATATTTGAAACTTAAAGTGTTATACATGACGCAAACACACATCATGCAAGGATACATCATGTAACACCACACAGATACTATGGAAGAGCACTGTGTCAGGGAAGTTACTATCATAAGCAACAGTGATTTGGTTCCATAATCTAAATCAGAGGTGACCGACCTAAACCTGAGAAGGAGACAGAATTTATCAGTACACATTGCTAAAGAGCTACAGTTCTATGTCTCCAGCCCTGATCATCTCCCCACCACCACTCTCAGCACATCCCACCCACTGGCAGCCCCACTGGTCAGTGCCTCCTTCTCCTTTTCCTCCTGCCCACTGTGATCAGCTCTCTCTCAGTTGGAGACACGGAAGGGGGAAGCATTGGTGTGAGAGGTTCAGTGGAGAGCGTAGGAAGTGGCAGGATCCTAGGGGGAAAGGGTGGAGGGGGACAGCATCTAGGGCAGAGCTGGGGGTTTAACAGTGAGCACCCTCCGGCTCCTGTGGAAAGTTGGCACCTGTAGCTCCAGCCCTGGATTTGATACCTATGCAAGGAGCCACATGTAGCTCTGGAGCCACAGGATAGCTCCCCCTCCCTGATCTAAATGGTACAACTGTGGTTGAATCAACACCCAGTCATATGAATGGAAGAGCTTTAGAAATGTTGCTTCCGTTCTGTAGACAGCAAAGCATGAGTTTATAGTTGTATGGCTCTCAGAGATGTAAACATAAAAAAGATTATTCAGATTCTAGAAATGATTGATGTACCTGAAAGAAGCAACTACATTATTTCATTTCTACTCTGTAAGTGATGGTCTAAACCCATAATAGAGCCAGTCAGCTAAACCCCATTCCCTCTTGGCCTTTTGGAATAATTTCTCCACATTTCCCTTTTAACTAGTTTAGGAAATGGCAGTCAGTTTCCTTTGCTACAGCAGACTGGGAATACTCCATGGAATCCAAAGGACAGGATTTCAATTTAGAGGCTTACAAGTTGTGTTCGGTTGCTGCATGGCACACAGAGCAGATCTGGCCAATGTCCTTACCCTCTCCTCTCCCAGCATCACTCCAGACCAGACCACATGCCAGACCTGGAGCTGAGCCACATGGTGTAACACTGGGCCGGGCGGTTTTAAAGTCCCAGGCCGTGATGTCACGCCACACCCCAGCGTTTCCTCTCTCTCCTGTTGCGTGGTGTTTAAGCATGCCGCACAAGCGCTCCTTCGGCCCCACAGTGCCCCGTAAATGGCCAGCACGTGGCACTGGGGAATTTAAAGTGCGGGGTTGTGGCACCCCGTCACAAATCTCCCTCCTCCAGCAGCCGCCAGCCAGCCCTTAGGAGAATGGCCCACCGGGAAATTCTTGGTATCCCGCCAGGCCAGTCCTCCCCTGGATCTGGCGCATGATGTTAAAGCACAGCTCTCTGACCATCCTCTTCTTCCTGTCGGTCTCTAAGGCTATGTCTACACTACCAGGTTATTTCACAGGCCCGTATGCAGGGGGTGTGTAAAAGCACACACCCCCTATGGTTCTCCCAAGTAAGCATGCTCCAGCCAGCCAAGGGAAAGCAGGAGTAGCATGCTGCCCAATGCTCTGGCTGGCCCAGGGAAGGCTGGGGCTGGTTTCCCCACTTACTTGGGGGGCCATCATCACCCCCTTGCAGTCCACCTTTACAAAAAAAAGCACACATCCCCCAGAAATTCCTGTGATGGGGCCTGTTTCAAAATAAGTTATTTTGAAATAAGCTTATTCCTCTCCACAAGCAGGGGTTATTGTTTTCAAAGTATCGGCTTGTTATTTCAAAACAACAGGCTTGGCCGTGTGGATGCTCACCTTGTCATTTCAAAAGAAAGGGAGTGAGAAAATGCTGTTTTGAGGCATCTCAAATGGCTTCCTCAATTTCAGAACAGATTAGACATTTGCAAATTAAGACACTGACAGCCATGTTAAAGTAAATTTGCAGAGGCTGCCAGTGATCCTTTTTTCAGGGCATAAATATAAACAGCAGGAGTCAAGAAGAAATTTCCTCTGTGATATATCAGTTAGGTCTTCAGCATGTTATTGAGCAGTATAAGAACGGATCCTCCTCTGGAGCACTGGTAACTTCAACCAGACTGATTAATTGTCATTCTGGAAAAAATCACTAGAGGGCATGGCTGCTATGGAGAGTCAGATTAAACTAGATACACTTTTTCCCCTTAGCCCAGTTTTAACACTGACCAACATTTAAATAGGGGTGGGCAATAATTTTTGCAGCAGGTGCCACTTAATGAATTTAGGTACATGGCCATGGGCCAGCTCCACCCCCAGAAGGGACAGTGCCTGGAGCAAGGCAGGGGACTAGCCTCCCCCCCGGAGCTGTCTGGGGCCACAGTCTTTGAATTAAAAACACAGCAAAGGGTTCACGGCTCCCAGCCCCACTGCTACCACATTGCTTGGCAGCTGCCTGGGGTTGCTACATCTGTTTCAAGGCCTCCTGTCTCTGGCCCCTGCTGACTTAGCACTACAACCGTGAGCTGCAAACCTGGATCCTGCTGCTTGAGCTACCTCCTGGAAATTCAGTGTCACGGGCAGCAGGATATAAATGGAACGTGGCCAGATGCAGTTCAGGGGCCAGATCAAGGTGTTCGGGGGGCCGTATCGAGTCCCAGGGCCGCATCTTGCCCACCCCTAATTTAAATTATTGTGCACCAAGGTTTAATACACATTCAAGACTCATATACTGTACTTTGCTTCTATTATTTGCTTGCCCAAACTTGTTCTTCTACTTTTCTTCTCCTGTGCATCAGCCTGAAAGAAAGGAAGTTATAGGATTTAAAACTATGGCACACAGTACAGATACTTTCTTAAGATGCCAAAAACAGAAAATAAACACACTTATCGGTATTAGAGATGTAAAAAGGCATTTAAAAAAACATAACCGTGTAACTTCTATAAACCTCAGCAGTTACACATGCTGCAGGCTCTGTGGTATGAAGCTTAAATAAGTTTTATACTGTAGAACCTGCAGCAAAGCCTGCTCAGGGGCAGGGCCAGCCCTGCTCCTGGGCCCACCACAGACAGGGGCTGCTCTCGCTGGCTGGAGTAGCCCCTGCCTGTGGTGAGCCTCACAGGGCTGAAGCAGCCTCCTGACTGGGGTGGGTGGGGAGCTGCTCCAGTCCCTATCAGTTAACGATTTACATCCCTAATCAGTATTAATTCATAGACTAACTCCAAAAGTAATTAAATAAAATAATTTGCATTCAACCATGCTCTATAATACTTTATACCCAGAGGTTGGAGAAGAGGTAGAACAGTGGCGGGAAACAAATGAGAAAAGGGGCAGTGAAGATTCAGGATTTTAAATCCTGAATTCATTCACAGGACAGGTATAGTCAGGGAAGTTTTGAGCACCTCTGCCCTGAAATGAGAAAAGTAAAAAAGTTTTCTTCATGGTACATTGTCATCCAAGGCCAGGCACCAGTTAGAAGTAGTTTTAATTTTATAGGTGCCGAACACTCACCTCAAATCAAATATCACTTATTTAGGTGTCCAGGTAGGAGTGGTTTGATTTGCACAGGGATCTGTGAGTGTTCAAATCCTTCTGAAAAGACACCAGGGTACTTTGGCTTGCATGCCTGAGTTGTGACATTTACAGCTGAAGATTCCAGATAGAGTTTCTAGGTTTTTTATTATTATTTCTCCCCCACAAGGGTGAAAGACTAGACCAATAGACTAGGCAATAGTTTATTATTTGCCTTGTGGTGCCAATCACAGACTTGGATATCATTGTGCCAACTACTCTTCAGTCTCAGAACTGAATTAATCTTTGGAATATTCTAATTTAATTTTTCTACTGTGCAGAAAAGGTAAAAAAGCACTTGAAGAAAAATTGTGCATGTAAAACTATGTCCCAGGACAGACATACCTCTGGGGAATGTTCATTTACAACCTGTACATCTGGCTGTTCTTCTCTGAGGGGCTCACTAAAAGCAACAGAAGGAAAGGTTAAGAGAACAGTTCTAAAGTGCCATCAGTTTAAAGCCAATTAAAACAAGGGAGGTGACAGTAAGGGAAGACAATAGCCTAGTTAACACCAATGCAGTCAAGAGTGGGGGAAGAAGAGAGAAACTGTTCATTTCCATGATCACTGAAACTAGTAATAGAAATGCTATTCTGTACCACTATTAAGAAAGAGGAGTTAACTAGACACTAAGGTTGGAGCCAGTTAGTGTGACTACATGGCAGGGATTGTAAAATTGTGGTTATATAGCTACAAACAAAAGCCCAGAGCCCATTAGAAAAGATACCTCTGTAACACAAAGGATTTGACCAATTTTTCAGATTAATTGCTATGCTTAAATTTAATCAAAGTCACAGCATGACGCTAACAGAGTAGAAATAACATCAAGGAGCTCGGATTATAACTTTCCTTCTATAACCACTAGGCAGCTTCTCCTCCCTCCCCTTTCCTATTAATGTAGTGTAACCCCTTTTGGAGATGGTGCACCTGAAAACCACAGACTGTCTAGGGGACTCACTCCTGGACTACAGCAGCAAGGCTACAGAGTCTCAGGACTCCATTTCCCAAACTGCCTAGGATCCAGGAGGGAAAGAACTAGCTTTAAAAAAAAAAAAAAAAAAACTGCTGAAACCAACCATAAGCCAGAACTCAGAGACAATAGATTTGGTTTTACATCTGGGTTTGGCACGTAGCCTTTGTCCCTCAATGTTTGTTACCAAGTGAAATCTTTTGGGACTCCTGGGACATGGAACAGCATCATCTCAGCGGAGACCAGAAACCCAGGAAGCTAAGGAAAGTCGGGGTCTAGGTATCAAAAACAAGACTAACAGCACACTGGAATCCAGACCAGAGAGCCACAAGGATGATCTTACCACCCTTGGCATGGATACTTTGTAAGAACGACCTCGTTTATTTCATTTCGCTATTTTGTTAAGCTGACCACAAATTTCTTCAGTGCACCACCCACCACAGACTGAGTCTAAATTCACTATTTGCCTAAGGTGCTGGGTGTATGTACAATATGTTGGCTCTGACTGTAAATGGTAGGAAAGATAGAGTTATGTATTACTGTTGTTCTCTTCCCTTAATCCTTTTTGCAACTGTCCCTCTGGGAATTGTGATAGCTGTTTTAACAACCTTTTCTGACATGTTTCTGTATGGGATTTCGTGTTAAATACTTTCCCCGGGGAACAAGCCCTCTATATTCTGCTGTTATGAGTGGTTTCCTGGAGTGGAGGCACCAGGAAACCTTAGGGGTAAACAAAGTATGAAAGGAAAAGGCACCTCAGGCTGAGTTTACAGTAGTAAATAGCAGTTTTGACTTAGTAATACAGTTCTGGTTGGCTTGTTAAACAGGAACATACAAAAGCCGCCTCCAAAATTTTACTCTTTTGAACAAGACTTTATCTCTAAAGTGCTTACCTGATTTTATCATCCAGTTTAGGTGATGGAGTTTTAGACATTTTTGCTGAAAGAGCCTGGGAAACCACAGCTTCACATGCTGAATTTTTTGAGAGAGATAAAACCATATTTGTGCAGGTCTACAAAAGCAAACTCTTAAATGTAATACAAAAAGAATATTTATCGGCTACAAGAAGTCAAGCCTGACCTTGGCTTAGCTTAGCATCTTCTGTTTCAGTCTGTTGGCTTCCCATGCTTGTAGTGACACCAGAACTAGTCTTATGCTGGTTTGAGACATGAAATTATTAACATGATATGAACACTATAACAACATTTATGTTCTTATTCCCAGATAATTACAGCTAGGAAACATTCTTAGGAAACAGGGCTGAATTATGGCTACACTTAAGATCTGAAAGGCTCCTGGGTAGTAAAGTCTTAGCATTTTTTTCTTTGTTTTTAAGTTTTAGGGGGGAAACATTCCCTTTTCCTGACAGCTATGGTATGTGGAAAGACTGGGCAAATTTTTCAAAATGGTCAAAGTGACTTCAAAACCTAAGTCATTCAAACACTTCTGAATGTTCTGGGCACCATGTGCATGGAAAGGGAGGAGAAACATTTACATTTCTACAGAAGAGTCCAGCACTCATACTTACTGTAACAGTACTTACTGAGTGATCACTACATTGAGATGACAGGATGTCAGATAAAGAGTCTGTTTTTTCAGTGTTTGTAGAATCTTTCCTCAACTCTAAGTAGGTGGACTCACCAGCTATTACTGTAAAAAAGCAATGAGAGAAAAATCTCTTAGTTCATAGATCATTCCCCTTCCATATTTCTAGAAAAAACATCAAGAGCACTGCAGCCTTCTAGATCACGTTCAAGAACAAAAACATACTTCCACCTTGAATACATAGCCAAAATATGCCACCAAGTTTCTATTGTCTTCCCCTTGCTATCTCTCCATTGTGCTCTGTGCCTTTATCCTTAAGTATTCTACAAACTATTTGGGGTAGACACTATAATATGTGTGTATACAAAGCATAATGGGACCAAACTTTCCCCACAAATCATGTTTGGATCCTCTCTGTGCTACTATTCTGCAAATAATGAACAATCATCATTGTGCAATTAACTTCACCCCACACTTACACTCCATGGATCTAGGTGATTAAAGATCATCATAAGAATGGTTATACTGGATCAGAGCAAAGATCCATCTAGTCCAGTATTCTGTCTCCCAACAGTGGGCAATGCCAGATGCCCCTGAGGAAGCGAACAGAAACAGGTAACCATCAAGTGATCCTCTCCTGTCATCCATTTCCAGCCCCTGACAAACAGAGGCTAGGAACACCATTCCTACCCACTCTGGCTAGTAAGTATTGATGGATCTAACCTCCATGAATTTATCTAGTTTTTTTTTGAATCCTGTTAAAGTCTTGGTCTTCACAACATCCTCTGGCAAGGAGTTCTACAGGTTGGCTGTGCACTACATGAAGAAAAACTTCCTTTTGTTTGTTTTAAACCTGTTAACTATTCATTTCATTTGGTGACTCTTAGTTCTTAGGTAATGGGAACAAGTTAATGGGAACAAGTAAATAACTTCTCCTTGTTCACTTTCTCCATATCAGTCATGATTTTATATCCCCTCAGTCTTCTCTTTTCTAAGCTGAAAAGTCCCAGTCTTTTTAATATCTCTTCATATGCGACCCATTCCAAACTCCTAATAATTTTTGTCGCCCTCTTCTGAACCTTTTTCCAATGCCAACATACCTTTTTTAAGATGAGGCGATCGCATCTTTACACAGTACAGGCAGTCCCCGACTTATGTCGGATCCGACTTATGTCGGATCCGCACTTACGAACGGGGCTTTTCTCACCCCGGAGCTCACGGGCGGGACCCCCCCAGCAGACCAGGGACACCCGAGCAAAGCCTTAGTATCTGCAAATTTTGCCACCTCGCTGTTTACCCCTTTCTCCAGATCGTTTATAAATAGAATGGATCCCAGAATGTATCCTTGGGGAACACTGCTAGTTACCTATCTCCATTCTGAAAACTTACCACTTATTTCGCACCCTTTGTTTCCTGCCTTTTAACCACTTATCAAACCATGAGAGGATTTTCCCTCTTATCTCATGAAACTTACTTTACTTAAGAGCCTTTGGTGAGGAACTTTCTGGGACTTGTCAAAGGCTTTCTGGAAATCTAAGTACACTATATCTAAAGTGGCATAGCAAGGGGGAGGCAGTTGCCCCAGGGCACCACACTAAGGGGGCGCCAATTTAGCTGCCAAAGCTTAGCTCAGTAGTCCCCAATGTGGTGCCCACGGGCACCATGGCGCCCGCCGGGTCATTTCTGTGCGCCCGCCGAGTGATTGGGGCCGGCCCCGGCACCGGGCAGTGTCAGCCCCCGGGCACGCAGCGTATGGGCAGTCCCACCCCTGGGCGTACAGCGCAAGGGCTGTGCCGGCCCTGGGCGCGCGGCGTATGGGCGTCCCTGCTCCTGGGCACGCAGTAAAGGAGCAGCGTCGGCCTCAGACGTGCGGCACATGGGCTGTTCCAGCCTCGGGAGCACGGTGCATGGGAGGCCCCACCCCGGCCACGCAGCATAGGAGCAGCGCCGGCCCCGGGAGTGCGGCGTATGGGTGGCGCCAACACCAGTCACGCAGTGCGTGCGCGGCCCCGGGTGCCCAGCGCATGAGTGGCCCCGCCCCCAGGCACCCAGCAGCCCCAAAAGGTTGTGGATCACTGGTTTAGCTGAACCTTGCCCTGCAGGCCAGTGGGTTTGGGGCTGCAGATAGACTCTCGCTACCCCTGCAATTTTGTGTCTGTCTGCTACTGCCACGCGTAGCTCAGCGCATTCAGAAAGGCCCCTGTTCCTCTTGGAACTTTGCTTCTCATTTTCCTTCGGTGGCAGAAAGGTTCCCTCATGGGGCTGGTTTAGATCCTGTTAATCTGAATAGCGGAGTAAACGAGATTCAGACACGAATAAAGCTGAAGAGCTGCACACTTGAGTGAATGGGGGTTTCCCAGGTTTTTTTGTGGCTCGTTTTAAAATAAATTCCCGGGTGATTTAGATCAAATAAAATCCTGAATGATTTAAATCATTCTCCAACTCAGAGCGGGGAGCAGGAGCTTGTTCCTGGAAATTGGAATTATTGTTTCTGTTCCCTCTGCAGTCCATGCAGGCCAGGTTGGTGCATCCAGTTTCACACGCCAGCCTGCAGGCACTCTCTCAGAGCAGCGCCCCCCAGCATGTCCCATGGTTCACAGGCTTTCCATGGGTTTTGCTGGCCTCTTGAAATGTGCTACATTAACCCCACACTGTGTCTGGGAAACAGGAATCCGAGGGTGATGCTTTCCCTTTGACAGGGCGGGCTGCGTTCAGACACCGACCTCAGCTCACCTTCTGCCGGGGGCTGTATTTCGCTGTCTGACCAGCAAAGCCCTGCAGCCCCACGAGCCCAGGGACCCCACGAGCTCTGTGGCACTGGCTGTAGGCTCAGGTGGGTTGAAATGGGTTGGACTGGTTCACACCGCTGGGGGGGAGGAGCCACACAAATTTTGCCTTTGCTCCCAGGTGCATAACATCCTTGCTATACCACTGAATATATCCACTGGATCCCCCTTGTCCACATGCTTGTGACCCCTAGTAGATTAGTAGAACTCTAGTAGATTAGGAAGTCATGATTTCCCTTTACAGAATCCATGTTGACTTTTCCCAAACAAATTATGTTCATCTAGGTGTCTGACAACTCTATTCTTAACTAGGAAGTTAGACTTACTGGTCTCTAATTGCCAGGATTAGCTCTAGAGCCCTTTTTAAATATTGGTATTGCATTGGCTCTCTTCTGGTCATTAGGTACAAAAGATTATTTAAAAGGATAGGTTATAAACCCTGTCAATAGTTCTGCAATTTTACATTTGAGTTATTTCAGAACTCTTGGGTGAATGCCATTTGGTCCCGGTAACTGTGTTACTGTTAATCAATTTGTTCCAAAACCTCTCTAATGACCCCTCCATCTGGGACAATTCCTCAGATTTGTCACCTATAAAGAATGGCTCAGGTTTGGGAATCTCCCTAACATCCTCAGCTGTGAAGACCGAAGCAAACAATTAATTGAGTTCCTCCTTAATGACCTTATCTTGGAGTGCTCCTTGATCATCCATTGGCCCCACTGGTTGTTTAGCAGGCTTCCTACTTCTGATGCACTTAAATATTTTGCTATTACTTCTTTGAATTTTTGACTAACTGTTCCTCATACTCCATTTTAGTTTTCCTTATATTTCCTTATTAATTTAACATTTTATACTCCTTTCTATTTTCCTCACTAGAATTTAGCTTCCACTTTTTAAGTGATGCCTTTTATCTCTTACTGCTTTTTTTACTTGGCTGTTAAGCCATGGTGGCACTTGTTTGGTTCTCGGTGTTTTTATTTATATATATTTAAATTGAGCCTCTCTTATGGTGTCTTTGAAAAACCTCCACAAACTTTGCAGGAATTTCACTTTTGGCACTGTACATTTCCATTTAATTAGCCTCATTTTTGTATAGTTCCCCTTTCTGAAATTAAATGCCACTGTGTTGGACTGCTTAAAATACTTCCTTTTGTTAGTTTTAAAAATACTTTTAAGCAGTACTCATTTTGGTGAGGTTTGCCTTTGTGCATATTTCAGATTGACAGAGAATGAAAAATAGCAGTTTCTGCTCAACTTGCTGTCCATTTTACACAGCTGAGCCTCCATTGATTTTGGGTAACTTCAGTCACAGCTTGATTAAGGGCAGGAAGGCTGACAGAAAGAGAGAAAAAGCTACTCTGAAAACATCCATGGTATGCCCATATCTTGATTACACTGCATGCAGATGTAGTCATCATCAATTATCGTCATCAACAACCATCGGCTCAGTGCCCGTTGGTGTCTGTTGCCTCCCTTGCTATTTCCTTCCATCTTTCCCTGTCCAGTGCAGAGTGGCTTAGTTTCTGTAGACTAGCGCTGCACCAACCTACTATATCATCTACCCATTCTCTGAGGGGTCTGCCTCTCCTATTCAGGCCATCCAGTATGCTGGATACCAGGGTCTTAACTTTTCGCTCATCGTCCATTCTGCAGATATGCCCGAATAGCTGTAATTTTTGTTGTATAACCTTCTGCAGTAAGTTCTTTAGATGTAGTCACCCCATGTCAAAAAATAAACTAAAATTGAAAGAGACTCAGAAAAGGGGGGGATGGGGAATTAAGGGTATGAAACAGCTGCCACATAGAAAGAGATTAATAAGGCCATGACTTTTCAGCTTGGAAAAGGAATGAAGGAGGGATATGATAGAGTTCTATAAAATCATGACCAGTGCGGAGAAAGTCAATAAGGATGTGCTATTTTCTTCTTCTCATAGCTTAGGAAATAGACATCACCAAATGAAATTAATAGGCAAAAGGTTTAAAACTAACAAAAGGAAGTATTTCTTCACACAATACACAATCAACTTGTGGAACTCCTTGTCAGAGGATGTTATGAAGGCCAAGACTATAACAGGATTCAAAAAAACTAGATAATTTCATGAAAGGTAAGTCCATCAATGGCTATTAGCCAGGATCAGCAGGGAGGGTATCTTTAGTTTTTATTTGCCAGCAGCTGGAAATGGGAAATGGGATAGTTTATCTGTTTGCTTCCTTTCCTCTGGGGTACCTGTCTTTGGCTACTGTCAGAAGACAGGATACTAAGCTTGATGGACCTTTATTCTGTCCCAGCATAGCAGTTCTTATGTATTAAACAAGTACTAGTTGTTGTCTTGGATACCTGGCACTAGAAAAATGTAGCTGGAATGTTTTCTTAGACATTTCTGGTGTATTGGTTGTAGCATCAATGCATTACCTTAGTTAACAGAAAAGTGATAAGTTGCCTTTATGTTATACACCAACGTTAAGAGTGCTGCCTAAGAGATTTATGTCAAGCTATGTTATTAAATCCAGAGATCACCTGGATAGTGGTAGTTAGGGGATATTGTAGGGGAAAAATCAACTCCAAAGATACAAAACTGTGGTGTCTTCTTGGTCTTACACTTTCCTGAATCAACAATTTTCTGCCCCATCATCATATAAAATTATACCAAAGGCTTGTCGTTGTTAGAAAACTGGGTTACGTTAGAGCTTTTGTCATTAGTGTGCACAAGAATAAGTCATGTTTATCATTGTATTAGCAGGTCGTGGTATACCCTATAGAAACCAGGAATTTTACTCAAGTCCAGATGATCAAACGTGACACGTAGTTTGCCTCTGTCAGTACTGAATGCAAAAGTGTGATTAATAGGTTAATTAATATGACTTCACACTAGTCTTTTAACAAGACCAAATTTTCTTGAAGAGATAAGCCTCCATTTACCAATGCATAACTACATAAATCATTTCTGAATTTGGCTGTTCAGTATTATACAAACAAAAATAAAAATCAGGAAGATTCCTTCTCCAAAGCAAGTAGCCATTTCATGTATTTGATATGCAAGCTGAGTTATGAAAAAGTGTATAGTTTTAAGATTTTATTAAGAATGCCTCATTTTTCAATTTCCAAGTTTGGATCTAGGAATTAATTTGCAAGCAAACAGGACTCAGCATCATTAAATATCTCCAATGCAGGAAACAACCTTAATCATAAGAACTGAGAGAAAATATTGCAACTCTGGAAACAAAAGGAAGCCCCAAAGCCACTTGCCAGTGTTCTTATCTAAGATGACTGGTAAAACTTTTAGAGGTGCTTAGATGGCTTCAGAGGTTAAGTCCCCAAGTGAACTTCTGAAAGTTTTACCCTATCTCCTCATTTACAGAAAACGTATGTTTTAGGAGCTAATGCTAAGGCTTCATATTTGAGTTTTCCAGAGATATTTTTAAGGCATAAATTCTACTTCAGCTACTAAATCCTGTTTGCAGTTTTGATCCTTTTAATCAATGTTGCTATTTGCCTTGAGACATTTTCAACATTCTAATCAACTTAAGCAACATTACCTCAGTTTCCACTGTTTATGATTTGGTCACTATGGAAAATATTTAGAAAGTTGCTTTAAAATGAAAATCTCTACAGCTGCTGATACTTTCTGAAGAATATGCAATTATCTGGTGTCATTGATAAGTCTTAGATTTGCATCAACTACAAGAAATTCATGTTATTTTAAAAACTCACATGTTCCATTTTGCATTGTTTGTTCTTCAGGGCTTAGGAGATCCTCTTTATCAGTCTTGTTCTGTTGGTATAAAACTAATATAACATTATTGTTATCTTTAGAAAATATTCTTTATTCTAGAAATCCAGTTTCCTATATAGTAAGAAAGCACTGAATGTGATTGTAGAACTGGAAGAGACCCCAAGAAGTCATCAATTCCATTCCCCTACATTCCCCACAGAATTAAGCACCATCTAGATCATCCCTGTCAGATGTTTGTCCAACCTGCTCTTAAATATCTCCAGTGATGGAGATTCCACAACCTCCCTAGATAATTCATTCCAGTGTTTAATCACACTGGAAGCTGGGAAGTTTTTCCTAATTTCCAACCTAAATCTCCCTTGCTGCAATTTAAGCCCATTGCTTCTTGTCCTATCATTAGGTGCTGAGAAGAATAATTTCTCTTTTCTCCTTCTTGCAACACCCTTTTAGGTACTTGAAATCCTCTCAGTCTTCTCTTTTCAACAAACCCAATTCTCTCTAATCAAAACCAATTCTTTGGGTATTCCCTTGTAGGTCATGTTTGCTAGATCTTTTATCTTTTTTTTGCTTTTCCCTGGACCATCTCTAGTTTCCTGATATGTGGTGTCCAGAACTGAACACAATACTCCAGTTGAGGCCTAATCAGCTCAAAGCAGAGCAGAAGAATTACTTCTTGTTATGTAGTTTTGCTAACTGTATTACTATAGTCAATATTTTGAAATCATCTACTTTGCTGCAAGGGTAAAAGTATGCTCATGTACTGCACCATCATTCCTTTTGTATTTAAGTTCTTCTACTGATCCCATAATGGGAGTTTCTCCCAAGTACTTAGAAGACAAGTCAAAGTCAGTCTTTCTTCCTTCCTGGCCCATAGAGTTTCATTCGTTTACAGAATGTCATGATATATTTTTTCCCCTCTGCAATACTATTTTCTCAACTGAATATTTGAATTTTGCAGGACTCACAAGCTCCTCTTTTCCCATCGTGCTCTGAGCTGACATGAAAATACATTTGTATTTTTAGTTTGCCCATTTAACTAAATAGAATGTACTTCAAAGCACATTAATAGCATAAACTGAAATACAGTAGACTTCCGATAATCTGGAGCCATTGGGACCTAGGTGGTGCCAGATTATCGGATATGCCGGAGTATCGGGAGGTACTCTGGTGGGGGGGGGGGCTGTGACACGTCTGCCGGGACCCACACTGTGTCCGGGGAGGTGGGCGGGGAACAGTAAGGCGAGGGGAGAACCCTCCACCGTTTTGCAGGAAGGCGGGGGAAGCCCCGCGCTGCCTCCGAGAGTTTCCAGGAGGGGAGGGGAGCGGAGCGGGCTCCCCATCCCCCAGATTGCAGTAGTTATCCCCGAGCAGGGGGGTGAGGGGCAGCGCTGCAGAACCAACCCAGCAGCACTCCAGCTGCTCTGCTCCGCTGCTTGTCTGCCGCTCATCAGTTTCAGCAGCGGCAGTGGTGGACTTGGGGGAGCAGCTTAAAGTGACGAGCGGCAGACTTGGGGAAGCGACAGAGCAGAGCAGTTGGGGTGCTACCCGGTTTTTCCCGCAGCGCCGCCCCTCACGCCCCTGCTCGATGCCCAGCAGCACCCCAGCTGCTCTGCTCCGCAGCTTCCCCAGATCCACCGCTGGTCAGTTTCAGCAGCAGCAGCGGCAGACTTGGGGAACGGGAAGCAGCTTAAAGTGACGAGCGGCAGACTTGGGGAAGCGACAGAGCAGAGCAGTTGGGGTGCTACCCGGTTTTTCCCGCAGCGCCGCCCCTCACGCCCCTGCTCGATGCCCAGCAGCACCCCAGCTGCTCTGCTCCGCAGCTTCCCCAGATCCACCGCTGGTCAGTTTCAGCAGCAGCAGCGGCAGACTTGGGGAAACGGCATGGAGAAGCTTCAATTGTCCGGCTGGCCGGAGCGCTTCTGGGTTCCAGTTAGTGCCAGACTATCGGGAGTGCCGGACCACTGGATGCCGGACAATTGGAGTTTTACTGTACTCGTATTGAATCAACTATGCAGGTAAGTACATCAATTATTAGGCAAACCTTAAGAATTCAAGGCTTCACCTTCTAAAAGCAGTCACTCTTTTTAAGCACTAGAAAGAAAAACTTTTTGCAAGGGTGAGGAATGTCTTCCCTTTTGGTCAAACTACTACATCATATAAATTACATGTGGATCATCACTGAATATTAGGAGAAGGAATATTTAATTACAGAAATCCGTAAGAGTGCAGACATCAGCACTGCACTGCTGCTTTAACTTGAGTCCATGTTCAATATTCTGGAGGAAGGCTAGATAGACACAACCTACATTTCTAGGGTAGGCGACTAAGGACTAGTCTACACTACAAAAGCATTTCTGGCCTATTCCAGCAAACATCATTAGCATATAAAGGTGACTAGTATAGAGGGATATAGAGTGTCACCACCAAATGACCTCCTCCCCACCACACTCCAGAACCTCTACACTCCAGGTTATGGGGCATGTGCGAGCGTGTGTATAAAAGAGAGAAATCAATCTACATTCTTCCCATCCACTTCATGTCCAGCCGACCGGCTGGCACCAGACTCAAGCAGGATTCCAGGCAACATAGCTGGAGGTTGCCTGAGACTCAGGGCAGTGCTGCTATCCCCCGCACACCCTCACCCCCACCCTAGCACAGTACTTGGTGCGGTGGATTTTTTTTCTGCTGTGCTGACCCATGCCAGCAGATTCCTCCCCCAGGCACCATGGCCAGAGGCTGCCTGGGCAAGTCCAGCAGCATGGCTGATGGAGGAGGGATTCTGGTCCCACGTCTTCCCTCTCAGCTTTGACCCTGCCAGCTGAAGGCCCATTGCACCCCCCACTCTTACAGATTTTTGGGATAGTCAGGTGACCCTTCCACCCATATCGTAGACATAGCGTATGCTAACAAAAGGAGTTTTTTCTGCCAGCATAGCTGTCTCTATACAGAGTTTTGGTAGCATAACTAGGCCTGTAGGATGTGTGCGCTTTTCCACACGCACACCCCCACAACATATCTATGCCAGCAGAATTTTGGCCTAAGAAAGGGAGACAAGAAAAAGACTGTCTGATATATTAAGAAGGCATGGAAGATTTTTCCATACCATTGGAACAGGAAACAAACATTTTTCTCCTCTGGTTCAATCTAATGCTTGAGATCTTTCATGGGTAGATAAACTTTCAATCAATGCATTTAAAAAGTGAAATGGAATGTTAAAAATTCTTATGATTGTAAACAGTTATCCAAGAAAGCCAAAACTAATACTTGCCATCATTTTGTCTTCTCCCAGAACTTTGTTGAGTATATTTAATATCTCAAGTTTGGCACTGAAATGTATTTTGATTTTTGTTACTTCTTTGCCATTGACCATAGTAGGGTTTTTCAGGTAAATTTTAAGTATCTTTTTTCCATTATCCTCTATGTAAGAGAGAAAATTAGAACCCGCTTTAGAATGACACAAAAGTCAATATCACACAAACAGTTTACATGCCATTTTCCATGCCAAGAGCGTCACTCTTTTTAAAAGTAAATACATTTTGAACTCGAGATGAGTTTTCACCTCCTCTTTTCACAGAATAAAAGTAAGTCTACAACCATGTCCTGGTCTAGGCCTCTCCATAAATCAACCAGCAAACAGAGATGACACCACTCTCATGGAGCTAGACTCTACACCACACAGAAGACCAGTATTTGCCCATCCGTGGCTTATACTGTATAGACGTCTACATAGCACAAGATGGATTTATCCAGGGCTTAGCTCCCAGAGGGGCTGTATATTAGTGTGCTGAGGATCTGTCCCTCACTGTATTGTCTGCTGTCTACTACAAGCAGAAGGGTATAGCCCTTTCCTGTGTCTATGCTGGGGCTGGTTGGTGAGCTATGCTTACCAAGACAGGACTGCAGGGGTGTCAAGACTATAACAGAGCAAGCAGGCTCAGTGATGTCTCAGCACATCAGGTGACAACCTCAAGTAGGTTCTAACACAACACAAGTCTTCCCATTGATTCATTTACCATTACTTTAAGCATATGGGGAAGATAATACATTTCCATGATCGGAATTCATAGGCGATAGCTGGGTTTATGCAGAATACTTAAAGGGAGAATTATTTCAAAAACATGCTATTTGTTATTACAGGAGTAGATGGAATTTAATTTCACTTATTAAATATATTGCATAATATAAAATGAAAAACACAGTGAAAGCTCTAGGAGTTAGAGTCTCAATCTCAAATTACGTTGCAAACTTTCAAGTGTTAGCAGCTGAGTGTACTTGGCAACTATGATCTTGTTGGATACGTGGAAGTTCAGTGTAAGGAATTCACATTAAGCTGCAGTTTCCTTTTGGCTACCGTTGATTATAAAATATCGTTTGTATGATCTTACCTCTCAGACTGTATCTACTGACCACTTCCATTGGCAGCCTCACTGAGTCCCAAAGAGCACCCTATAAAAAATGTGGGAGTGAATGCTCTTCAAGTACTTTAGTCAAAGCAAAAAGTAATCAGAGAGTAATTTTACCTCAATGCTGTCTATGTAGAAAGACACACTCCGACTTCCAATGTTGAAATCAATCCAAAACTCCTCTAATTTCTCATCAGATGGTTTCTTCACCTTAAGAAACATAACAGCTTTTGTCATTATTTCCAGAAGAGCTCTTACAAAAATACAGTACTGTTTTCCTTAGCTGTGTTAACTAGATTAAAACAAACAAATTATCCTTAATATGAATACTTACATTTGCTTCTTAAATGGTACCAAGAGGTGAATAACTGTAACTGACAAACTCTAGCAGAACCTGGAAATTACTGTACATTAGCCAAGGGAAAATAAAGTTTACTCTAGACTGAAGCAAATACTATAAGATTCTTTTGTTCTAGTTTCCAAAAAAGTCTTATGTATGTGTCAGCACTTATTAAGCAGAGCTGATGGTTTTGTCCTCAGATTAAAACTTCTGTTACAGAGAGTACATCTATATAGATTGAACCTCTCTGGTCAGGCATTCTCGGGTCTGGTAACATCCATCCACCATGGTTTTAGTTAGCTGGATATCCACTTATCATGGGGGTGGCCAAGTTTCCCATGGTCCCATAGGTAGCAGTTTAAAAAAAAAGGGGGGGAAGTTTTTCTTCATGCTGTGCACAGTCAACCTGTAGTACTCCTTGCTAGAGGATGTTGTGAAGACTAGGACTTTAACGGAGTTCAAAAAAGAACTAGATAAGTTCATGGACGTTAGGTTCATCAATAGCTATTAGCTACGATAGGTAGGAATGGCATCCTTAGCCTCTGTTTGCCTGAAAATGGATGACAGGAGCAGTATCACGTGATGATTAATTGTTGCATTCACTCCTTCCGGGACATCTGGCATTGGCCACTATCAGCAGACAGGATATTCAGCTAGATGGACCTTTGGTCTGACCCACTATGGCCGTGCTTATGTCCCGTAAAGTTTGTTCACAGCCACGAGACCTGACTCTCAGTCTTCTATATTATTTAGCTCTAATTTACCCCTAAATGACTTCTAAGAGACCAGTAAGCAGTGACAGTGTTGGTAATCATGCTAGACAATATTGATCTCCTCATGGTCCGCAAATTCTCTGGCTCAATACGAGTCGGATCTCAAGGGTCCCAGACTAGAGAGGTTCAGCCTGTACTACACAGCTTTTATCAATAAGGCTGTGTCGATATGGCTCTGTCACTAAAAGGCAATGTGTGTGAACACTGTTTGTCAGCACTTTTGTCTACCAAATACTTCTACCCCTAATGAGGGGGGTTCACTTTGGCAACAGAGCGCACCTGCTGAAAAAGCTGCATTCACACTTTCACTTCCCATGGCAAAACTATTGTTTGAGGGAGAGGGAGAGTTAAGCGTT